TGTTCTTCCTATCCATGAGCAAGGGATGTCTTTCCATTTTCTGAGATCATCTTCAATTTCCTTTTTCAGTGTATTGTAATTTTCACTGTATAAGTCTTTCACTTCTTTCGTAAGAGTAATTCCTAAATATTTCATTTTTTTGCTTGCTAATGTGAATAGTCCAGTTTCTCTTATTTCCCTCTCTGTAATTTTGTTGTTCGTGTATAGGAATGCTATTGATTTCTGAGTATTGATTTTGTATCCAGCCACATTACTGAATTTATTTATTGTATCTAAGAGTATTTCAATGGAGTTTAGGGGGTCTTCTATGTAGAGTATCATGTCATCTGCAAACAATGATAATTTAACTTCTTTTTTTCCTATCTTTACCCCTTTTATTTCTCTTTCTTGCCTAATTGCTCTGGCTAGTACTTCCAGTACTATATTAAATAGGAGTGGTGATAAAGGACATCCTTGTCTTGTGCCCGATTTTAAAGTAAAGGCTTTCAATTTTTGGCCATTTAGTATGATGCTGGCTGTTGGTTTGTCATAAATGGCCTTTATTATATTGAGGTAAAGACCATTTATTCCAATTTTCTGTAAAGTTCTTATCATGAATAAGTGTTGGACCTTATCGAAGGCTTTTTCTGCATCTATAGAGATGATCATGTGATTCTTATTTTTGGCTTTATTGATATGGTGGATTACATTTATTGATTTGCGTATGTTGAACCATCCTTGCATTCCTGGGATGAATCCCACTTGGTCATGGTGTATAATCTTCTTGATGATTTGCTGGATCCTATTTGCCAATATTTTATTGAGGATTTTTGCATCTGTGTTCATTAGGGAGATCGGTCTATAGTTCTCTTTTATAGTTGGGTCTTTCTCAGGTTTTGGTACTAGAGTAATGTTTGCTTCCAGGAATGACTTAGGAAGGATTGCTTCCCTTTCAATTTCATTGAATAGTTTGAGGAGTGTCGGCATTAGGTCTTCTTTATATTTCTTGTAGAATTCTGCAGTGAATCCATCTGGGCCTGGGCTTTTCTTGGTGGGTAAGGCCTTAATTACATTTTCAAGTTCATTAGCAGAGATTGGGTTATTCAACAGTTTTATATCCTCTTGATCTAGCTTTGGTACTTCATATGCTTCTAAGAATCTGTCTATTTCTTCTGTGTTATCAAACTTTTGAGAGTAGAGGTTTTCGAAATAGGTGTTGATGATCCTCTGTATTTCTATTGGGTCTGTAGTGATTTCTCCTTTTTCATTTCTTATTGCATGAATTTGAGCTTTTTCTTCCCTTTTTTTAATAAGGTTGGCTAGGGGCTTATCAATTTTATTTATTCTTTCAAAGAACCAACTCTTTGATTCGTTGATTCTTTGGATTGTTTTCTTAGTCTCTATTGCATTGATTTCTGCTCTGATTTTTATAATTTCCTCTCTTCTTTTGGCTTTGGGCTTGACTTGCTCTTCTTTTTCTAGCTGTTTGAGGTGTAGCATCAAGTTATTTATTTGTATTCGTTCTGTTTTCCTGATGTGGGAACTCAGTGCAATAAATTTTCCTCTCAGAACGGCTTTCATTGCATCCCACAGATTCCGGTAAGTTGTATCTGCATTTTCATTTTCTTTTAGGTATTGTTTAATTTCTTCTTTAATTTCTTCTGTGACCCACTGATTACTCAAGAGTGTGTTATTTAGTTTCCATGTGTTTGTGGAATTTTTGCAGTATCTTTTGTCATTAATTTCTAATTTCAGAGCGCTATGATCTGATAATATGCAAGGGATGATTTCAACTTTTTTGCATTTGCTTAAATATGTTCTGTGAGCTAATATATGGTCTATTTTAGAAAATGATCCATGTACTGCTGAGAAGAATGTGTATTCTGATGTTGTTGGGTGGAACATTCTGTATATGTCTATCAAACCCATTTGTTCACAGGTGTGATTCAGTTCTGTTATTTCTTTGCTCATTTTCTGTCTGGTTGATCTGTCCCTTGGTGTCAGTGGTGTATTAAGGTCTCCTGTTACAATTGTGTTACTGATAATTTGAGTTTTCATTTCTGTTAATAATTGTTTTATATAACTGGGTGCTCTGGAGTTTGGTGCATATATATTTAAGATAGTTATCTCTTCCTCTTGGAGTTTTCCCCTTACGAGTATGTAGTGACCTTCTTTGTCCTTTATGGTCATTGTTGGTTTAAAGTTCACGTTGTCTGCAAACAGAATGGCTACTCCTGCCTTTTTTTGGATTCCTGCTGCATGGAGAATTGTTTTCCATCCTTTGACTTTCAGTCTGTGAGTATCCTTCTGGGTTAGATGGGTTTCCTGTAAACAGCATATGGTTGGATTTTGTTTCTTGATCCATTCTGCTAGTCTGTTTCTTTTAATTGGTGCATTGAGACCATTTACATTAATGGTTATTACTGTTAAATGCTGGTTAATTGTAGGAATGTTATCTCTCTGCTGTTGCATCTTTATCTTTCTGTTCTGTTTAATTATTTGCTTTGCTTAGTGGTTTTTTCCTTTGTGTTTCTAAACTGTCTTTCAATATTTTTTGCAGGATTGGTTTGGTGTTCATGAAGTTCTTCAGCTGTTCTTTGTCATGGAAGTATCGTATTGCACCATCTATTTTGAATGATAGTTTTGCAGGATATATCAGTCTCGGTTGGAAATCGTTTTGCTTTAGGATCTGGAATACTTCACTCCATGCTCTTCTTGACTTTATTGTTTGTGCTGAGAAGTCTGCTGTGATTCTGATAGGTTTTCCTTTATAAGTGATCTGTCTTTTCTCTCTGACAGCTTTTAATAATCTATTCTTGTGTTGGATTTCTGGGATGGTGATTATTATATGTCTGGGTGTAGTTTTATTTTGGTTATGACTGTTTGGAGTTCTATATGCTTCACTGATCCTGATGTCAGTTTCTGATCTCATGCTTGGGAAATTTTCAGCTATTACTTCTCTAAATATCCTCCTGACATCCTTCATGTTGTCTCCCTCTCTTTCATTAATCCCTATCATTCTTATGTTATTCTTCTTTGCATCGTCCTGCAGTTGTTGAATTGTTGTTTCCTGATTCCTTGTTATTTTCAAAAGATCTTTCCTTTCCTGTTCACTAGCTGCAGTCCTGTCTTCAAGGTCTGAAATTCTATCTTCACTTTCATTAAGGCGGTTTTTACAACTTTCAGTGGAGTTTTTTATTTCCTGTATATCTCTGTGCATCTGCATTATGTATTCTGTTTGTTTCTTATATTGCTCATCTAGGGATTCTATCTTTTTGTTTAGTTCCTCCAATTTTTTATCTGTGTTTTCTTTAGATATATTTAGAATCTCTTTCATTTCTTTTATCATTTCTTCTTTTATCTGGGAGATTATTTCGAGTTTGAATTTCTTTAAAGCTTCCTGGAGTTGCTTGTCAATTTCAGTGGCTATTGTGTCCGATATATGAGGTGGATGGGATATATTTTCTTCTATATACATCGCTCCTAGGGTTTCTTGAGATGGGCTGGAGGTTTGAGGTTGTAATTTAGTCTTTCGTTTTGTCATTTTCCTATATTTCTGTGTTTCAAGTGTTATTTGAAAGCTTCCTCAGGATCTGTTGAAAATCCCCTTCTATGTTTGGAGCTACTGAGATTCTGGCACCACGCTACCCCAAGCCTTTGGGCCTACAGAACTAGTGGCTCTCCTCTGCCTGCTCAGAACTCCGCAGTTCAAGACAAGCTGGGCCTCAGGGACACTGTGCGCCCACCTGCCCCTTGGAAGCTCCACAGTTCTTCAATCGCAGCCGGGTTAGGGTACTCACCACAGGCCGTAGTGCTTCAGGAACCTGTGGACCCTCCCTGGTTGCAGAGATATCCAGAGTCCTCCAGACACGCAGAGAGGCCTGTGAGGGCACCCCAGATCTGCCCAGCTCCTCTTCTGCAGACCTATGTCCAGGCGCGGCAGCTAAACAGGCTGGGCTACGCTGATAGTGTGGGCCCGCCCATCCGTCGGCAGCTCAGCAGGTCTCCAAGTGGAGCCGGAATGGGGAGGCTGATGTGATAGCCTCAAACCCACCTCGCCCCTTTACTGCACCTGGAAGCCTGGGGGAACTCCAGCAGTCTGGGCGGAGATATCCAGAGTCCTCCAGACACGCAGAGAGGCCTGTGAGGGCACCCCAGATCTGCCCAGCTCCTCCTCTGCAGACCTATGTCCAGGCGCGGCAGCTAAACAGGCTGGGCTAGGCTGATAGTGTGGGCCCGCCCATCCGTCGGCAGCTCAGCAGGTCTCCAAGTGGGGCCGGAATGGGGAGGCTGATGTGATAGCCTCAAACCCACCTCGCCCCTTTACTGCACCTGGAAGCCTGGGGGAACTCCAGCAGTCTGCGCGGAGATATCCAGAGTCCTCCAGACACGCAGAGAGGCCTGTGAGGGCACCCCAGATCTGCCCAGCTCCTCCTCTGCAGACCTATGTCCAGGCGCGGCAGCTCGAAATCCTGTTTCACATTGATTGTTTTCTTCTGATCTGCTTTGCTCTGTTTTGTTTTTCTCTCTTGGAACCGGAGGGTTTCTTGGCTGCAATCCCACAGTCAGCCACAGAGAGGAGACAGCGGCCGCGAGAACCGAAGGGCCGTAACCCAAAACTTTCACTTTTATAGTTTCCTGCAAAAGAGTTGTCTCCCCCAGTTGCCCAGGCTGGTCTCAAGCATCAGCTTACCAAGCAGCCAGGAATGCAGGTCCATAGCACTGTGCTAACCTTCTAGTTTTGTCAGTTTGAGGACCTGCTAACAGGTCTAAAATCAGGAATATAATATGTTTCAGACCTAGAGCTGGGGTCGGTAACTTAAGTAGTGGGGAGAGGGTGTTATTTTGTAAGGTGTGGGCCATTGGATCCCTGCGTCAGCAGTTCAGCTAACGGTGTAGACACAGCACAGAGGTAACTATAAACCATACGGAGGTGGAGCATTATAGCTGTGCCCACTACAGTTATGAAACAAACACCAAGGATGGGCAGGTTATTAATAAATATTTTTGTTAATTTTCAGTTGACAGAAGCACAAGACCGAGATACAAGCTCTGTGCAACACGACGAAAAAACGGAAGAACCCTTAGACAGGTATGGCTTAACCAAATGACTTGAGCATCTCTAAAGGAAATCAGCAGCATAATATGAGACATATTGCAGTAATATAAGTACTAAATCTTCATTAGGCCAGAGGAAAATTCTAGCTTTGATAAATTTACCTGAAAGGAGTAATTTTGGGGAGCAGAAATAGTACAGTGAGGAGAGAGCATGTGCTTTCCACGTGGAGCCCTGTGTTCACTCCCAATAATGCAAAATAAAAATCATCAACAAGCACAATGAGAAAAATCTTACCTACCAAATCATCTACTTTTTCTAACTTTTAAAATTGTGAGTAGTCTTTCAAAGGTTATGCATTTTTAACAGATCTGTGCAAATAATTATTTTGAAATCAATGTTTTAGGATTGAATTGGTGTGTTCACACCTGAAAGAAAATGTTCAAAGTCTCGAAATGGAGATTTTGAGCCAGACAAAGAAAAGGAAGAAAACAGCAGGAAAAGTTGAACATGCTCAGAAACACTTGTCAAATGACAGTTTGGTGAGTCCATTTGTTTTTAATTTCTATCGTACTTGAAAGGAGTTCTTATTTCTCTACTAGTACATAGGAATATTTTAGGCACTATGAAAAGTTTCACTGATAAAAACACTTGTTGTAATCATATTGATATCTCCTTACTAGCAGTAGTGACGTCCTCTTAACTTTATGGAAGATAAATGGTTTCATGCAATTCATGACTTTGGCAGTGATATTTTAATACAAAAGATTTTTATAGCCTAAAATCCCTATTTTACACATACCACATTTGTTTATCCATTATCCATTGAAGGATTTGAGAGTTATTGCCACACTTCTTTGGGAATAATGCTGATCTGGACATTGATATATTACTGTGTGTCGGTGTCGCTCCCGGCCGGCAGGAAGGACACACGACAAAGTCTGGCAGTGGACAACCTTTTCTTTTATTTCTCTCCGTACAGCCTGCCCTGGGACCGCTCCCAGCCAAAGCCTCCTCTGGTCCGCTCCCCGCGGCTCCTTCCGGGCTTCGCTCCAAAGCCTCTACCGGTCCGTTCTCCGCGGCTCCTTCCGGGCTTCGCTCCAAAGCCTCTACCGGTCCGCTCTCCACGGCTCCTTCCGGGCTTCGCTCCAAAGCCTCTACCGGTCCGCTCTCCGCGGCTCCTTCCGGGCTTCTACTTCCCCCCAGGGGTGGCACCAGTATATATACGGATACAGTGTCCAATCATGTTAAAGTAAGCAAGGCAAGCTGATTGGCTAACATATTATTGAGCGGGTTGTTTACGCGGTAAGCAGGAAACTAACGTGCTCGATGGGAGGGGTAATCTAACTCAGGCTTTACTCTTTACCACAGGCCGCATGATCGCTATATGCGGCGGCTCGGCAATGTGGTGGCTCCCAACATCTCCCCCTTTTTTATTTTTTATGAATGTGCGCATCGTAGCCCTTCCTGGACTGGGTGCAGAGGCTTATGCCCTATGCGTAGGCCCACCGTAGGTCCTTGGCTTAGACCCTGGTCGGCCGTGCCATGGTCTGCCAAGGCCCTGAGGCCCTCGTCCTTTTTCTAGGGCCAGGCACAAACTGGACGGAACCTGGATGCACACAAGCTTGCACTCATTTCCTCTCCGTAAAGAAATCCCCTCGGAGAGAAATTTAGACCTGGGCAGCATCTAACAGTCCAGCGGCTTACGTGCAGGATGGGGTAGGGCCTGGCTTAGGTTGAGTCGCACCGGGGGAGTACGCTCTTACCCGTCATTGACTCTCCTACCCAGCTATGTCATAATTTTTTAGAGGAGGAGTGTGGGAAGCTCACCGCCCCTAGACTCGGTCATAGGCTAGGCGAGCGAGCCATGCATATGCCTGAGGATCTTTTTGTCCATTTTGGGCTACCGCTATTTCTATTCATCTTGTTGGTTGGTCTGTGATGGATCTCCGGTAGGGCAGGTCTGATCTTCAGTCGAGGGCTTTGTCGCCCGTGTCAGTCTCTCCGGTACCCACAGTGGTTCTCGTCCCAATTCCTGCAGAAAAACACAAACCGCGCCTCGGTTCCAGCTGATTACCGGATCCGGGCCCATCCATTGTCATGCCATAGATAACCGCGCCTTTGGAGGCAGGCCTTGGCTTACTCCCCCTTTTTGTTTTTTATTTTTTATTTTTTATTTTTATCTTTTTCGTTTTTTTTTTTTTTTTTTTGGTACCAGGGATCGAACTGGCGATTGCCTGCTTACAAGGCAGGCGCTTATGCCCCTGAGCTAAATCCCCAGCCCCCATTTCCTCGACCGGCGTTTTTTTTTCAGCCTGCTCGGCAGAGAACTCTGTGTACCAGGCTCGCCAATGAGGGGCCCAGAAGACAGGTTCTCCAGCATGGCAATGGTGTAAGGCGCAGTCGGCCCAAAGGTTGTTTTTAAGTTCTCTAATCTGCTTTATCTCAAAAGGCTCCCATGCATTACGTCCCTGGCCCATAGCTACTTGTACAGGAAATATCCCGTAGGGGCCACTATCTATCCCAGGTGGTGGATGTACCTCATGAGACAAATGTCCCCCCTGCCAAAGCCGCCTGTAAAAATACCGACCCGCCGGTGGCGGAGCATAGGACGGCGGCCGTGATTGGGCGGAAAATGGGGGCCCGTGCATCACTTCCTGTTCTGGCGAAAGGGGAGGGAGCTCCCACGCGGCCGCCTCGAGGCGAGGGATCGCTTCCGGGAACAGCCCCCAAGGTGGGGCGGAAGGCTTCGCCTCCCTCTCGCGCCAGGGGGCGCTCAGGAGCTCTCTACTCCTCCGCAGACCAAGTCGAGCGGAGCGCAATTCGCGGCGCAACGCTGAGAAAGAACCCTGCGACTCCTTATCGAGCGGCCTATCCTCTTGGCATCTAGGCTCCTTGGTCTCATCGTTGTCTAAGCCTTCCTCATTCTCGGAGTCGGACGACTCCGAGGCCTGAGCCCCGTCTTCCTCCTTTATATCTTTGTCTCCTTTGACGGACCCTTCCCGGGAGCTTCTTGACTGTGCCTGTTTAAACGCCTCGTGTACTTTTACAAGTTTTTGAGAGCTCCCCCCGTAACTACCCTCACTCTTTAGGCACGCGTGTATCATTTCCCACAACGGACGAGCAGAGACCGAAGCTCTACCCTCCCGTTCTGCTAGGGAAAGGTCTCTGCCCAACTTTTCCCAGGAGAGTAGGTTTACATGCCCTGTAGGCAGAAACCAGGGAGCAAAGCTGTCAGTTTCTGCAAGGAAATTTTCCAGAGTCTTACGCCCCACCTTGAGGTCCTTGGACTTTAGGAGTCTCCGAAGTACCAACACCAAGGCTGTGTATCTTTACTTGGCATGTTATCTTCTGTTATTTTTACTTCTATGTTTATGTTTTACACTCTTTTATTACCTTAAGTTCTGGTGTTATGTTTCATACTCACCGCGTGAGGCCCAAGAAACCCGCCACTTACGCGTGAGCCTGAGAGGAGTCTACAAACCCTGTAGGTGCGCACCACCCAGGGCCCAGGTTTATCCTCTACTCACCTGTCTTGCAGCTCTGCGTTGGAGCGTTGTCCACTGTCATGTCTCGGGGGTGATCAGTCCCCGTGCGGGCCTCCAAATGTCGGTGTCGCTCCCGGCCGGCAGGAAGGACACACGACAAAGTCTGGCAGTGGACAACCTTTTCTTTTATTTCTCTCCGTACAGCCTGCCCTGGGACCGCTCCCAGCCGAAGCCTCCTCTGGTCCGCTCCCCGCGGCTCCTTCCGGGCTTCGCTCCAAAGCCTCTACCGGTCCGCTCTCCACGGCTCCTTCCGGGCTTCGCTCCAAAGCCTCTACCGGTCCGCTCTCCGCGGCTCCTTCCGGGCTTCTACTTCCCCCCAGGGGTGGCACCAGTATATATACGGATACAGTGTCCAATCATGTTAAAGTAAGCAAGGCAAGCTGATTGGCTAACATATTATTGAGCGGGTTGTTTACGCGGTAAGCAGGAAACTAACGTGCTCGATGGGAGGGGTAATCTAACTCAGGCTTTACTCTTTACCACAGGCCGCATGATCGCTATATGCGGCAGCTCGGCAATGTGGTGGCTCCCAACAACTGTGTGTCACGAGTCTCAGCTAATATGATACAATAACTTTTAAAATTCCAGGAAATTGAATTGCTGAATCTAAGCCTTTGAATATCTGTTGCAATGAAAGCTTTTCCATGATATTTTGTAATTTATATGGTCACCAAGAATGGATAGAAGGGCACTACACAAGCATTTTCCCCAGAGACACTGTATTTCTCTTTGACTGTAAGCAAGGAAAAAGATGCCAGTAACAAAGTAGAAATGGATATTTGTCTTACTGAGGAACTAGTGGTCCTAGCATTGCAGTTTCATGATTTTTCCCCATTGATTAGTGTTTATCAGCCATTTAAACTTGTCCAGTCTAAGAGTAACGCATAAGACTGGGTGACAGTTTGTTGATGTGTAATGAAAACCATGTACCTCTTGACCAGGCAGAGCAGATTCTCCTGTGGCCCGTGTTCTCCTGTGTGGGAATTAGGACCACAAGGACACATTGTGTGCATGGAAGTGGAGATGTGAGGTGGCTCCTTCCACTGACTGATTTGTTAAAGTCACAGCAATTTGATCCATCGAGCTCCGTTACACAGATGCTTGTTGCTATGTCTCCTGCCTACCTGTCCCCCAAACTCTCATGGAGCTATAGATGGGTGTTTTTCATAGGTGACTAGATCTGTAGAATATGATGTTGGGATTCAGGATATGTGATTACCAAGTTGGTCCACCGGTTGGTTTGGCATAGTTCTGGGATCAAGGATGTGATGTTAAGATTAACGGTATGAGTGCTACCTGCCCTAAAGGTGAGTACCTGGATAAGATGTAGGGACAGAAAAAAGCTTGATGCTGCTGCTGCTGCTGCTGCTCCTGCTTGTCTTCTGGTCCATGATGCCCCTCTGCAATGCCTCCCTGTTCTGGAGCCAGCCTACTATGAACTGAAACCTCTATAAACTGTGAGTTCCGAACCTTTCCTCTCTTAACTTGTGAGTCTGGTTATTTTGTCTCAACAACAAGAAAAGACTTGTTATAAGGGAGCTACAGAATTCTGCCTAGTGTTTTCTATGATGAAATGTGGAGAAACAATTTTTTCTAGAATTCAAATAAATTAGTCCTGTTGTTGTACTATACTTTTCATACACATAACATGCTGACATGTTGATAAGGTGTCATTTGTGAATTAAAATGCCAGGGGCCATCATCTTACTTTAAGTGTCATATACAAAGGTATTGAGATGTTGAAAAATTGGTAGTGGTACCATATACAACTGGAAAATATTCAAAAAAGACAATGTGGTCCATTGGAAAGCAACATTAAAAAAGAAAAACAAGGTGAATTATGATGGGTGCCATTCTAACAGTGAGGCCTCCAGCCCTAGATTAGAAGATTGCAAAATTCAGATTGAAACCCATGTGAGTCACTTTGCCATGTGTAGGACTCAGTGCAGAAGGAATCCATACCAAATAATGGCTGATGAGGTTTTGTTCTGGGAGAAGTAAACTAAAAGGAAGAAGGGAAAGTGTAAATGACCCCTGTGCCGAGACATTTTGTGTACCCCAGGCTGGCCTTGAATTTCCTGTGCCTCTCCAAGGTGGTCTCATGGTTACAGTAACCCTGTTGACTCAGCCTTCTGAGTGACAGAATCACAGCTGTGTGATACGAAGCCCAGCTTCTGATTTAAATTTTGAGAGATCTTCTGACTAAATTATCAAGACTGCACTTGACCTGAGGAAACTTTTACCTCAGCTTTCCTGCAATATTAAACTTTATCAAAACAGAAAACACAATACCTAAGAGGAAAGATTTTATAGAGCTCCCACTGCTGGTGACTGGTGGAGTTGGAACTCTGGCCCAGGCATGCTGGTGTCTGTCTAGATACTGTTTCTCCAACAGTTCCTGGAGACATCTAGATGTTACTGCAGTGTCATTTCTGTATTATTATCATTGGCATTGCTCTTAGTCATATAAGCATTATTCATATCATAGTTGATAAATAGTACTTGGAATCCATAAAGTAGGATGTAATGCGTGGAATGTAAAAATACAACTAAAAGGACAGCACAAGTAAAGGGACTTCCTCTTTCTCTCCATTTTACCAAAACTTTCACTTTTATAGTTTCCTGCAAAAGAGTTGTCTCCCCCAGTTGCCCAGGCTGGTCTCAAGCATCAGCTTACCAAGCAGCCAGGAATGCAGGTCCATAGCACTGTGCTAACCTTCTAGTTTTGTCAGTTTGAGGACCTGCTAACAGGTCTAAAATCAGGAATATAATATGTTTCAGACCTAGAGCTGGGGTCGGTAACTTAAGTAGTGGGGAGAGGGTGTTATTTTGTAAGGTGTGGGCTATTGGATCCCTGCGTCAGCAGTTCAGCTAACGGTGTAGACACAGCACAGAGGTAACTATAAACCATACGGAGGTGGAGCATTATAGCTGTGCCCACTACAGTTATGAAACAAACACCAGGGATGGGCAGGTTATTAATAAACATTTTTGTTAATTTTCAGTTGACAGAAGCACAAGACCGAGGTAAAAGCTCTGTGCAACACGACAAAAAAACGGAAGAACCCTTAGACAGGTATGGCTTAACCAAATGACTTGAGCATCTCTAAAGGAAATCAGCAGCATAATATGAGACATATTGCAGTTATATAAGTACTAAATCTTCATTAGGCCAGGGGAAAATTCTAGCTTTGATAAATGTACCTGAAAGGAGTAATTTAGGGGAGCAGAAATAGTACAGTGAGGAGAGAGCATGTGCTTTCCACGTGGAGCCCTGTGTTCACTCCCAATAATGCCAAAGAAAAAGTGTCAACAAGCACAATGAGAAAAATCTTACCTACCAAATCATCTACTTTTTCTAACTTTTAAAGTTGTGTGGAGTCTTTCAAAGATTATGTGACTTTTTAAGCAGATCTGTGCAAACACTCACATTGGAGAATTTGCGCCTGAAAAAGGAAAATCAAAAGCTAAGGGGTAAACTTGAACGAGCTCAGAAACACTTGTTGAGCAATAGATTGGTAAGTGCAATTCTTTTTAATTTCTATTGTTCTAGAAAGCAGTTCCTCCTCTGCTAGTATGTAGGAATATTTTAGGCACTATGAAAATCTTACTGATAAAAACGCTTGTTGTAATCGTATTGATACCTCCTCCTTACTAGCAGTAGTGAAGTCCTCTTAACTTTATGGAAGATAAATGGTTTCATGCATTTCATGACTTTGGCAGTGATATTTTAATACAAAAGATTTTTATAGCCTAAAATCCCTATTTTACACATACCACATTTGTTTATCCATTATCCATTGAAGGATTTGAGAGTTATCCCCACACTTCTTTGGGAATAATGCTGATCTGGACATTGATATATTACTGTGTGTCATGAGTCTCAGCTAATATGATGCAATAACTTTTAAAATTCCAGGAAATTCAATTGCTGAATCTAAGATTTTGAATATCTTTTTGTAATGAAAGCTTTTCCATGATATTTTGTAATTTATATTGTCACCAAGAATGGATACTAGGGCGCTACACAAACATTTTCCCCAGAGACACTGTATTTCTCTTTGACTGTAAGCAAGGAAAAAGATGCCAGTAACAAAGTAGAAATGGATATTTGTCTTACTGAGGAACTAGTGGTCCTAGCATTGCAGTTTCATGATTTTTCCCCATTGATTAGTGTTTATCAGCCATTTAAACTTGTCCAGTCTAAGAGTAACGCATAAGACCGGGTGACAGTTTGTTGATGTGTAATGAAAACCATGTACCTCTTGACCAGGCAGAGCAGATTCTTCTGTGGCCCGTGTTCTCCTGTGTGGGAATTAGGACCACAAGGACACATTGTGTGCATGGAAGTGGAGATGTGAGGTGGCTCCTTCCATTGACTGATTTCTTAAAGTCACAGCAATTTGATCCATCGAGCTCCATTACACAGATGCTCGCTGCTATGTCTCCTGCCTACCTGTCCCCCAAACCCTCATGGAGTATAGATGAGGTTTTTTCATAGGTAGCTAGATCTCTAGAATATGATGTTGGGATTCTGGATATGTGATTACCATGTTGGTCCACCGGTTGGTTTGGCATAGTTCTGGGATCAAGGGTGTGATGTTAAGATTAAGGGTGTGAGTGCTACCTGCCCTAAAGGTGAGTACCTGGATAAGATGTAGGGACAGAAAAAAGCTTGATGCTGCTGCTGCTGCTGCTGCTGCTGCTGCTGCTGCTGCTGCTGCTGCTGCTGCTGCTGCTGCTGCTGCTGCTGCTCGTGCTTGTCTTCTGGTCCATGATGCCCCTCTGCAATGCCTCCCTGTTCTGGAGCCAGCCTACTATGAACTGAAACCTCCCTAAACTGTGAGTTCTGAACCTTTCCTCTCTTAACTTGTGGGTCTGGTTATTTTGTCTCAACAACAAGAAAAGACTTGTTATAAGGGAGCTACACAATTCTGGCTAGTGTTTTCTCTGATGAAATATAGAGAAATAATTTTTTCTAGAATTCAAATAAATTAGTCCTGTTGTTGTACTATACTTTTCATACACATAACATGCTGACATGTTGATAAGGTGTCATTTGTGAATTAAAATGCCAGGGGCCATCATCTTACTTTAAGTGTCATATACAAAGGTATTGAGATGTTGAAAAATTGGTAGTGGTACCATATAACTGGAAAATATTTAAAAAAGCAATGTGAACCCATAGGAAAGCAACAGTATAAAAGAAATACAGGGTGACTTATGCTGGGTGGCATTCTAACAGTGAGGCCATCAGCCCCATGTTAGAAGATCACAAAATTCAGATTGAAACCCATGTGACTCACTATGCAATGTGTAGGACTCAGTGCAGAAGGAATCCATACTAAATAATGGATGATGAAGTTTTGTCTTGGGAGAAGTAAACTAAAAGGAAGAAGGGAAAGTGTAAATGACCCCTGTCTAGAGGCTGCATCTGGAAATGGGGATTAGGTTATCAGACTCAAAGGCTTGGATTTAGGATCTGAGGGAATCTGAACTGTAGTGGACATAAGACTTAAGCAACTGCCTTTAGGAGCACAGTGGAGCTCGGAGTGGAGAGAAGTGGAGAGAAGTCACTGTGAGCAGAAGCTCTGAGCAGTGGGCAGGATGAGAACTCCGGAAACAAGTGTCTTCGGTGACTTTCACATTACTTTATTGGAAATACAGGATGAAAATCAGATTTTAATGTCCTCCAGTGATGAAAAATTAGATTTGCACATGAGACTATGTATCAGAAATGTAAGAGTCCTTTGGAGGGCAAGAAACAAGATGATAGAAAAGCCATAAGAACCATGTAGAAGTGAGGCTTCTTCGCATTACAAAAAAGAGAAACTGAAAAGAAAATTGTTTAATAGCAGAAAAAATAATTCTGGGCTGGGCACATAGCTCAGTGGCACAGTGCCTGTCTAGCCAGCAAGGGATTCAGGTTTTGGTTCCTGGGTACAAAACAAAATTCCTGAGAGGATGCTTAGAGAGAATAAATATCTATCTCATTCCAAAGTCGAGTGAGGTTCAAAACTGGGATGAAATCGAGGTTTCCAGAATTTGTCTTGATAAAATATGTTTTAAATAACCCTGGAATATGTTGAGCTATTGAGGGAAAGACCTCTAGAATATCTTTAGAAAGTGAAATGGAAATACAGTCCTTTTCATATATTTTTCATCAATGCTTATGTGTAAAACTTTCTTTTTAAACAAAGTTTGGCAGCACACACTTCAGAAACCGTCATGATGAAAACAAAATGATGAAAGCACAAGTTAACTTGAGCTGTGTTCAGAGAAGCTGCTGTTTTCAAGTCTGTTCTTACTGGCGTCCGTTTTATACTTTGCGTTTGCACATTCATGAGCACATGTGAAGTAATATTGTTAAGGAATGAATCTTTAGAGTTTTAGAAATTAATTATAAATTCATTTTCAAAGTCTGAAGATGAGAAAGAACAGTTCTTCAAATTCACTGAGCTGTTCAAAAGTGCAATGTCTGAGGTGGACCAATTAAAGAAGGAAAAGCACGACCTGGAATGTGCTTTGGATGAAATACAAAAGAAAAATCGTGAACCTGAATCAGAACTAGCAGGGTAAGATTTTCATAATGTCAAACCTTACCAACCAGTCATGAATGGTTTCACTGACTTTACTAAACTAATTGTGAATCTATTATTTGCATTTTAATTAATACACAAATTATTATATTTTAAAATTTACCTTAGTGACCCACAGCATAATCTGTTTTGTGAATGCCATATGTTATTTACTCTGGTGGTTTCAAACACATGACAGTGCTTGGAAATAATATGAAGTTCCCTCTTTTTATCTACTTGAATTTTTATTTGAGGGTTTTTTTTCTCTGTTACCTTCTTTTGGTAATATCCTTCCAGCTAGCATTAAAATATATTTTTGTGTTTAACAGCCTATGTCATTCTTTAATAACACTAATATTAATCTTGATTTGTCTCATATTTTCTGTGTACCTCTTTCTCCGTTAGCTATAAAATCTGTCAACAACTACATTTGTCATCCATGAGTAATCCCATGTGTGCATGCAGTATATGTGTTACTAAGCTTCTGTCCACTTATCGTGTGTGTGCCTTCATTCAAGATTATATATTATACAAATAAATATGTGTGTGTATGTGTGTGTGTGTGTGTGTGTGTGTGTGTGTGTGTAAATACTATACAATCGCCCCTTGATGTATTCACAGTATTGGTCCCAGGACCTCTTTAGATATCAAACTCCTTGGATACTCATGTCTCTTTTACATAATTGCATAGCATTTGCATATACTCTACTGAATCCTCCTATGTTTTAAGTCATTGATAGATTATTAACACTTAATAGAAGGTAAATGTTATGTGAGTCCTTGCTGCGTCATTCAAGGAGTAATGACAAAAAAATTAGTATGTGTTGAGTACAGATGCAGTTCTTTTCCTGAGTATTTTCAGTCTACTGTTGATTGAATCCCTGAAAACAGAACCTGCAGGATAGAAAGGGGTGATTGTAAAGTCTCTTGCACACAAAAATATGTATGCCTTGCGGATGCAAATGATTCTACAAGGAAAAAGAATAAAATGGTTTAAAAATGAAAAGTGTTTTCCAGTGTCTTGAAGCCCCCATGATGGCTGGTTACCATTGGTTAATGGAGAGCTTGAGGTTGTTATGATTCAAGCCAATATTTGCATCTCCTTAACTGTTTGTCTTTCCAATTTTGTACCTCCTGCATTTTGTCAGCATGGTAGTACCAAAGACTGAAATTTGTTCCTAAAACACACTTTCAGACTACCTATTATTCCTCTGTTGATTTCCTTTCTCCTAAACTGCTTTTTTTCCTCTTCAACTCAGATTTCAAAGATGATGTTTCTTGTCTTTTTCTGTTTCCAATAATCTCAATATTTTCTTTTCTTCTCTTTGCTTTGCTTTACTTTTGTTCTTTGTTTGAGACTGAACCTATATATTTGCACATGCTGGACACATACTCTACCATTGAGCTGCACCTCCAGCCCACCTTCAGAGTTTTGTGTGCTCTTTCTTTTCTTGTTCACCATGGTTAACAGATACCTAATTATGTTTTTAAAATCTTTAACATTCAAATACATGTAAGTATATTTTTCTTCATTTTGGTTTCTGATCTCTGGGCTTTAGCTAAGATGAATAAGTTAGTGTATTATGTTAACACACCAAAGAGGATAGTAATTATATGAATCTTGTGCATGGTTACAGTATTAGCTCTTTACTGTCACATATACAGCATAAACTTTTACTGCATATTATTTATCTAAGATTATATTTCTGTCAATGCTTTCAAATACTGTTAGGTTGAAACAAATGAAAGAATTGTTTTCATGTTAGAATATAATATCTGTTTCAAGAGGTAAAACTTCAAATTTCACTCTGTACATTCTTGCAGATGTAAGAAACTTGTTAAAATAAAAGAAACAAAGTTAGATGAGCACAGAAGTGGAGACTTTTGTTTCCATGGAGATACAAATTCCAGTGCACTTGAATATTCCAAATACCAGGCTAATCTACAAGCTAATTTCTTAGTAGTTTTGGGAACAATAACTACTTAGTTTGGGGAACTATACATCATTGTATTTTAATCAGTGAGGGGAAGGATATTTTTTACTTTTATTTGATAAAATCACTCCTTTTCAATTCAAAGGGTATCTTGTTGTTTTAAGCCCTGGCTAATGATACAAAGCCAACATATAGACCATCACATAACCTCAAATCACGTGTATGAAATGAATTTTGGGATGTTGCTTGCATCTTTATTAAAATACTGTTTACGTAGGTTGAAATTCAGTCATTTAAAATGTGCAATTTGGTTACATTCAGTATATTCAGAGTCATCACCCCAATTTCAGGAAATTCTTTCATTCTAAAGAAAATTCAGACCTTTCAACCATTGCCTACCTCTTTCCTGGCTCACTGTTAAAGAACCAGTGATATACTTTGTAGATTGTGTTCTTCTGGACATTTTGTATCAAAATACTCAATATGTGTCCTGTCTTCTTTTGGGACTGCCTTCTTTCACTTAGCAGGTTCTCAAGATTCATTCATGTTGTAGTTCTGTACTTTATTTCCTCTTCTAAGTAATGTCCTCTTGTGTGTATTTTTAATTCATCAAGCAGTTGATGGACTTGCAGTAGTTTCCATTTCAACAGTTATTCATACTGCTGTGCAAATACATGTACAGCATTTTGTGTGTGCCTGCTTTCATTTCTCTTGGCTTCTGTGTGGAGTCATGTGGTAACTCTCTGTGCTTAACCTTTGGAGAAACTAGCAGTGCCGGTCCATTTTCCAAACTTATTGCACCATTTCACCTTCTTCCAGCATTGTATGAGAGTTACAGCATCTCTGTATCCTTGCCAAGAGTTTTTATTCTTTTTGGTTGAAAGGTTCCATGCAAATGAAGTGAAATCTGATTGTGACTTTCCCTTGCATTTGCATTTTACTTTTATAATGCAACTTCCCTATTGGTGAGTAAGGGTGTGGTGTTGGGCATATGTGTTTTCACAAGCCAATTGACATTTGTGTATCTTCATTGGACAAATGTATACTTAAGTTCATCCTGCATTTTCAGTTTGAGTTACCTTTTTCCTTTTCCTTTTTTTTGAGACAGGGTCTTACTGTGTAGCTCAGGCTTTCCTTGAACTCCTGAAAACATCTGGCCTCAGCCTTTGGAGGGATTCCAGGTGTATGCCACCATGCTCAGCTTTGGGTTATCTTTTCTGCTTTTTAATTGTGAGTCCTTTATATATCCAAAACATAAATCCTTTATCAGATACATGATTGTCAGATATTTTCTGTCACACTGTGGCTTACTGCTTCACTTTCTAGTCCTGTTGGATCCTGTAAGTGTCAGTTGTTGTGGTAGGACTACTTTGTCTTTACTCCTATGGAGATATTTTTCTTCCTGTAGGACACTGGCCAGTTCATGTCTTGCTGACTCCATGACATGAAGGGAAGTCAGGCTGACAAAGCAGAGCCCATTGCTGTCCTTTTCTCCATGCAAACTTTTCATCTTCCATCCAGAGCATCCTTCGTATCTCCCATTCCTCCATCTTGGCAGAGCATCTGCTAACTCAGAATGCTATTCACTGCATGTTTCATTAAGTCTTTGTGATTCAGTTATGTCTAGATTGTTATCAACTAGGAGGGGGGAAATGGAGCTAGAAGGGGATAGCCTTTTTCTTTAGAAATTGAGCCAACTGTCACCTTACAGTTCACAGTCCCATCCTATTTTGCCCTGGTATTGGCTGATGTGTATCACACTGATTTTATGGGGGCACAGATTCTACATGCATACACATATCTCCTTTCCCATAAGCTGTTACATGATTTAGATTGTGAATAGCAGCCATGAGAAACTTCCTGTCCTATTAAAGGATATCAAATTCAATGCAAGATAGGAATTCATGAGTTGCCTCAAAAATACTTGATATTATCTAGTACACAAACTGCTATTTCTGTCCTGTTTCAGGCAAATACAGCTCAAGAGACCTGCTGTATTTATCCTAGCCTGGTCCTTGCCCACATAATTTCTCTCAGAAACAACTGTCTACACTTGAGAATGCAAAACTGAGTTCTAGACACAAGTCATAAGGCTCCAACCACAGGATTTTTCATTTCCATCTAAACCATCCTTCTCAGAGTCCACATTATCAATTATACTCACCATGTACCTATCCTCATCTATAGTCCAAGTTAATATTTTAGCTTGTATTAAACCTGGATCTGAGAAACTGAAAGCTGACAAGTTTGAAAAGCATCTCATCTGTTTGCCAAAATGGAGCCCATTCTCCTCCATTTTTTCCAGACCAGCTATACATTTAAAGTAGTTACTTTCTGGTTCTGGGAATGATGTGTTCCCTTTTGCAGAAGTGGAGAAGTTACAGGGTTAGCCAGACTTGGCTTTGTAGGGTGATTATCCAACAGCTCCTAAGCCCAGTTTCTCTAAAGAGGTCTGCGTGTGTATTGCAAAACAATGTCAATACATGTGCCTATGTCTCATCCATAGCAATGAGACAGTAATATCAGCACCTCCCTTTTGTACTTGTGTCTGCCCTTGTGCTTTGTCATTAACCTTGGATCTACCCTCTTTCAGCCAGATACTGGGGGTTAGAGAAGGCAGATCAAAGCAATTTCAGAAATGTCAATGTAAGCTCAAGTCTCAGAATCATGCTAAAGAAATGAGGATTTTAACTACATTATCATATTTAAGATATGAAAAGTTAATGCTTGAGAGGGAATTAGTGAATCTTCACTTGTTCACAGGGTGGTTACAACATGTCAGGTGTAACCATGAACTTGGTTTTATACTGGAATGCTATGGTTTAAAGAAATGTGCCTGCTTATTAAGTGGACAGAGTGCAATGTGATGCTTATTGTCAGTTTGTGTAAATAACATCCATGTAAATTGACTCAGCATAATTCTGGGTGTGGAAGGTTTAACATAGGGAGGAGCACCACAAGGATTTTATAAAAAAGGAAATGAAGCTAAGGATTGGTGTGTTTTCCATCTGGGGAGTTCCAGTCTTTTTCATATTGGATATCATATCTCCTGGCATTCAGTGCACTCCTCAGCCTCCAGCATTGACCTATCAGTCTCCTGACATGGACTCACATGGGGCAGTACATTGAGCTGTGTCTGTTTGGCTGGATCTTTCAGATCCCCAATATGCAGACAGCCCTTTTATATTCTCCCACACTTGGCTCTGGGCAGGCATTGGAAGTCAACCTTGTAAGTTTTATAGATTTGTTTACCTCATAGTACATTTCTTTCTCTAGGAAATACTGACAGCTACAAGGAGATAGGATCATCTCCCCAACCATAGGGGAAACAAGAGAGAGAACTGAGCAGATAAGCAGATGCTGTATTTCCCCCTGCAGCCTGGTGAATTGAGACTCAGATACCTCTGTCACAAAGGGAACATTTCCAATGCCTCTGGCTTCTGTTCAGCAGCATGCACATCAAATGCAGCATCTCTACCTAAAGCACTGTGAAAAGCCATTAAAATTCTCCCTGGACTGGCAGTGAGTCTCCTTGCTTATGATCTGTGTTCCACATTCTGCGCTGAGAACTCTTATTACTGGACTTCTATCCTGGCTTCCAGCCTTCTGTGTTTTCCTGTCACTCCCTCACCTGTACCTACTGCTTTCTGCCAAATAGGGTGATCAGGGACATCTCTGAGATGCTGTCCCAGGACTTTGGTCTGGATCTTACTGCTGAACAAGCTTACTCTCCTGACTCTGGGAAGCTGTGTCAGAGAGGACCATCATAATTGAGCTTGAGATCCGTGTTCTCTACTATGCACTGATCTGGCCTCTTTCCCTCCAGCAGGTCCAAGAATGGTTACAGGAGAAGTTTGAGCAGGTCAGGGATTAGCTAAGGATTCAGGGAGCCATGCATGGCTCAGGAGGCCCCCAAACCCTTTCCTGCAGTGGGTATCACTAGCTATCTGTGCCCTCCCAGGAACCACATTAAGGAGCTCACCTCCAAGTGTGTTAGGTTCATATAACACATTAAACTGTCATTAGGTCTTTTGCCTTACTAGACTCCCTAGAGCCCAGAGTAGCCATTCATGGCAATTTGAAACACAAAGTGGTGGGGCTACCACAGATGTCCTTGGGTCTCACATTCCAGGTGTATGCTAGAAATGCCTGGATAACTGTGCCAAAGGCCATACTTAAACATTAGTCATGGTCTCCTGTCCCATCTTCCTGGGATTCAGACAAACATACGGAGCAAGAATCTCTAGACTTACACAGGGTGCAGGTCCATAAGTCATGTGGGAGGTGTTTGCCAAGACTGTCTCATTCACCAAGTTTAGATGTCAATAACTGAGTAGCCAAGCCAGAACCACTGGCAAGATGGCTAACCAGTATCTGACTGACACTGTGTGGAGCCTGAGATAAATGAGAAAATTCCTATTCGAGTAGCCAGAGGTACACACAGCATGAGTGCCAGCTCTTGGCCCTGGCTCCAGACTTCATAGTGGAGCATTTCTATGAGTCACCTTCCACATATAACCATATGTCAGGCCATTCCTATACCCAGTAGAGGTGAGCCCCTTTTTCCTACTTCTTAAAAATATAACAGGAGGCATGAGTAAAACTCCACAGGAAAGAAATTGGGAATCCCCATGAGAGTAACCAGAAGGCAGATGGACCATAGCCCTCCTAATGTATGAACAGGAAACTAGGCCATATTTTACAGAGCCGTATCACTGTGCCTACACACTAGAAATCCATGCAGTGATGGTTAAAACCCTGGGGACTGGACACAAATGCCCCATTTCACCCTGATGCTGCAAGACTGAATAGATGACTTCACCTTTATCCAGGTGAAGATAGGTAAAAGCCACACCACTGCGTTGTGTCAGGTCTAGAAGGGCAACATTAGGGGTAGCCATGAGTAAGTTTTCTTAATCAGAATGAGTCTGTCACCAAAGCTAGTGTGCCACCACCAGCAAAATGACAACCAAGGAGAATGAGCTTTCTGCAGACAGACTGCCTCTGGTGCTATGACTTCTTCTGTGTCACCTGTTACCACCTTCAGCTTCATGTTTCCCAAGGATTTCTTAGGTCCCAACCAAGTCTAGGTGTGTTCAGAAGCTAAAAATCATGCAGAGGTTGCAATTTAGTCAGTCACCAAACAGTATCTTCTTTTTATAGACACCGACCACGCACAACTTATGAGGAACAACAGGGAAAGTCATGGGTTCTAAGTAGTATTATGCTCCAAAGTCACAGTCACTATACGTCACGCTCCCAATGTGTGAGCCTGATGGGACACACTGAAGCCTGAGAAATCATTGCTAGGGAGGCCTGACTCCAGAAGGCTACACCTTGGTCAGACCACAGTCTCCTCAACCTGCCTCCTCTCATTTTCACAGGCATTGATCCCTAACACACTTAAGATCTTATCACCTATCACAAAGCTTGACCTTGTTATTGAGCATCTCACAGAGGATCAAGTGTTCCAGCAGCATGGAGAGGCTTCCTATGCAAGCCCCTCATTGCAACAGGTTTACCTGACTGTCACCTGTGCAGAGAATAAGTATGCAGTTCACTGTTAGCTCCTGCAGGTCCTACACAAAAGTCATGGAGACCCAGAATGTGGGTGCTGATCAGAGGCCCAGGCTCATTTCCAATAGCCTCTCAGGAGCCACCACCAAAGAGGAATCTGTCCCTTCTGATGTGGTATGGGACCTGGCACACATAAAATGGTAACCCAACTCTGACTGGCCATAGCTACATAGTCTTAGGTTTAGAAGACAGATGCCTTTGTCAAGAAACCCTAAAAGCTATCAAAAGAAATACTCTGCAGGGTTATTTCCCTTTATCCAGCTTCTATGGAGAGTAGTATTTTAATACATTTATTTCTACAACTGCTTTGCTTTCTTTGGGTAAATCCTACTCCACAGGATTTCATGCTGTCAAAGGTTGAGGCATATTTAGATATATGTGCATACTCAGTTCTAAATTGGCTCATATTTGACTTCCTTAGAAATCATGTGGGTTTCCACACTGATTAATGAGTACATTCATGAATACTCAAAAAGAACTGGGAAATGGTGCCCTGTGGCCTCAATATACACCTCAGAGCTGTCACTTCTCCTGAGCTTGGTTCCCTCAACATTAGTAAAATTTGTTTGAAGGATGAAAGGATTTCTTCTGCATAGTTGAGCAGCTCATATGATCTACTGATGACTTCATTGTTGAGTCTCACAAAGTGAGGGCATTAGGTGGTTTGTCTCATGGAGGTTCTAGTGCACCTGTGTCCATAGGACTGTGATGTGTCCATCCAACTGCCTCATGAAAGAGGACTCTTTTCAGATTAGAATGCTATGAGGGAAAGGTCACTAAGCAGGCCGCATGTTCTTGAAAGTCAAGCTAAAGAAACTGAGTCTATTGCCAGCCCAAATGTTTACTGTATAACCCAGTACAGAAAATCCAGGCCTTTTTATTAAGATTTGACTCAGTTCAATACAATAACTCTTTATGGAGCAGATGGACATTAAAATCTGACTCACAAAGACATAGAATGGCATCTGCATAGGGCAGATTTTAACACAATCAGCACCCTGGCTGATGTCCCAGCACTGGTTCCTTTGTGAAACATCTTCTCTTTGCATTCTCTTGTCTCTATCTTGGAGTCACAAATCAAATAAAAACGTGGAACATGAGAGAATTGGAAATCTTTCAATGACCCACAACTTTTTTAGTTGTCTATTTTCCCTCACTTCTAGTCAACTCTGAACCACTTGCAAATAGAGATGAAGAGCTCAAACTTTAAACTTCTCTAACACATTGACTTCTGCAGTGATACTCCTGAGATACAGTTTTGAAAATTTGTGTATCTACAATAGTCCAAAGTGACTGAGAGCATTCATCACTGGAAAGTGATCAGAGGTTCTTTCTAAGCTACACTCATTTCAGCATTTTGGCTATGCCATGTCAGACACCTCAATGCCACTGTTTTAAATGCTGACCACTCTGGTTTCTGCAGTGGTTGAAGCAGTAGATCCACAGTCTCTGCTGTTAGAGTTTAATATGCAGAATGCTGGTTCCTAGCTTCTTGATGTCCTTTAAGTAATGGGTCATGCCAGCCAAGAGTCAAAAACAGTGAAGAGAATGTGGAGGTTAAGGAAGCCATGTGCCACTCCCGATTCTTCCATGTATGCAATGTGATATTTGTCTGGATACTAACGCTGGAGCTATGATTCTGCTACAGTCCACAGGCTTCTTCCATATTAGCATATTCCAATGGAAGTAACAACTTAGAAGGATCTCAGATGAATCCAGAGCACCTCATGCATCAGGTCATAATGGAAGAGTTATTACTTCTAAGATTCCCCAGGCTTTATAATGAGAATGTGAATGGATGGATTTGGCAGTGGCTCCAGGATGCCATTAAGTGAACTACACATGTGTACAGTTTTTTCATCTCAGCAATAGTAAAGTGAGTCAGTCTAAATTCATCCTGTCTAGCAAAATCCCATTGCAACCCACCATGGGAAGAAGCAGTACCAGCATGGAGCCAAGATTTACTTGGGCCTGAGGAAGTTTGTCCTGAAGAGTACAGATGTGCAGCCTGATGACATCATCTACTCAGCTTCATCAAGTACTGGGTAAAGGGACACAGTGGATAGGAACTCAATAGTTTTGTCATCAATTTAGACTTTAAATTCATTGCACCATTGACACAGACTGCAGCTCCAGAGGTTCTTTTTCTGAGACCCATCAATTTACTGAGTTGGGCTGAACCTATTTAGTATACTGAATGTTGCTTCTGCTCCATACCTACAGGAAGCTTGATAAAAGCACCAAGAACCAACAAGCTGGTATAAGCTGCAACAAGGTGATTTCACTGACTGTACAGATGCAGCAGAAACTTCAGAGCATCATGACAATGTGCAGTTAACTCCTGGTATCTGAGGAGTTATTTTAAAGAGAAGTTCTGAGTCAAGGTGGCAGACACTCATACTGTAGCACTCCTGAACATACATGCATGCAAGAATGATTTTGTTTATTTAAAGACAAAAATAGGACACCATCAAAACAGGTTAGTAGAAGAGTTACAATAACACATTGTGTATTGTTGTCTTTATAGTAGTTATTCAGTGTATAATATATAGGCATGATATCTTTTGCAGACTATATTAGCATAAATGTTTTCAAATAGCAAATATTGAGCTGAGTCAAATCTTTGTAAGTCCTGGCTTTTCTCTACTGGGTTGTATAGAAAACATCTGGGATGGAAATAGATTCCATGTACTAACAGGAGCTAGCTGTACAATTATATTAACCCTGGTGTTTCTTTTTCCCTTCTTGTTCCCTATCAGTTTGATTTTCTTTTGAACAGTGCTTAATCTGGTAAAGGAAAGTGGTCTTGAGGCCAACCTCCAAGTGAAACATTATGAGTGCTAATATTATCCTTTATGAGAGGGGAGAAATATGCGTCTCAGTGGAGATAAAAAAGATATCAATGTATTCCCACTGCACAATTTCCTGAAGACCTGATCAGTGCTAGCAGTGTTGGAGCAGTCTGCCACATTTATTCATTTATGCTTGCTTTGTTTGCATTCAGGCTGCTTCTCTGCATCACAGGGAGGCTAAATCCACCATCTCTATTATCCAGTATTCTGGACTATGCTCTTCCCCAAAGCTCCTCCCTGGATGAATCATCAGGACCTCATCTTGTTGTAGCTTTTACTTTTGTCCAGTTTTGGAGAACTTCATCCCCTGAAACATTTCCATCAGTGCTGTTCAGAGGGCAGAGGGCTGTCAGACTCACATTTCAACTCACCTGACTCAAGGTAGCCCTAGTGAGTGGAGTAGCAGTTGGAAAGAGCCACTATGTCCCACAGGGATTTGGTCCTGAACAACTAAGTGGAATTGCACTCTGCTCTCCTCCTGCTTGGATACCAAACCTCTGAGAAGGTCTAAGGGTGGTAGTGAAACCATGAAACCATCCTGATGGTGAGATGACCAGGTCTTCATGACTTTTAAGTGTTTCATAATTTGGCCTCACTGGAGAATCACTTTCTTCCTAATGATTTATTGTTCATGAACATCTAGACTTAGGAGCTGCCTGGTCAACAGACAGCCATGCTGCTGATGGCTCTTCAGTGCTTGATCAATTCAGTTAAATGCAGTACCAGCATTGCTTTCTGCCAGTCCATGAATTTAAGAACCATCATGAAAGCAGACTGCTTAAACACAGTACGGTACAGAAAATATAAGCACTGAGTGAAACACAGTTCGTATATTGGACCAGGACTCACATGGAATTTGGATTGGTACCAAATGAGCAGTGATATTTGGAGGAAGATGCTAGGATGGCTAACAATGCCTTTCATTATTGAACAGATTCAATGAGCTTCAAAGCTATCAATGGCAGAACTACAGACAGTGGCTATTCTTTTCTCTATAACTTCCTCCAGTGTGTTTCTGGGTTGACCATGGCCAGTAGTATCTTTGATGTCATCAGGAAGCTACATTAAGATTCACAGAGGGATGATTTTTAGAAAATGGCAGAGGCACCTCAGTACTGGAGGATTTGCAAATCCCTTTAATCCACTAGCTTTCATGTGCATCCGATGACTGCACAGAACACTCTGTATCCTTCAAGATCTCAAATCATCCAGCCTTTACTTCCAGTTTCATGTCAGGCTATACTAACACACAGCTTGAGTATACCTTACATTTCCAAGCATACTTTATTCACACTCGTGATTGCCAAGCCTTAGGGTAGCACTATGGATGTCTCAAGCATGATACATTTTATATACATGTTTTCCTAGCTGGACACCAGGCACACTGAACTTCTCCTAGATTTCAATAGTGCAGTTAAAATATCTTAACTCACTGAATGGGGAAATGGGAAACAGTAGTGGAAATCAAAACCGTTCCCAGCACAAGCAGGATATCATTTAGCACACACTTTCAAGCACAGCTCCAGCAGGATGCTCCTCATATCACTATGTTCCTGATGAAGTCAGCTCAAGATGCTGGATTCTTTCAGCACCTAGGAGTCATTCTCATTTTTATTTTGTCTTAAAATGTCACCATACAATAATTTGCTTCTTAGTATGGCCAGTGTTGTAGACCTCTCACTCACGAGAATTGCTACAGTAACACATGTGGCCATAAACTTGGCTAGGATGAAATTTCCACTAGCCCCAAGGACTTTCAAGCTCATCTTTTCAGACAATGTATTTAAATAGCATCTTTAGAGACATTGATCTGGATATGTGCTGGATGACCATGAGTTTTGAGAAAAATATCTTGGCCTCAAAGAAGGCAGAAACATGTCAAGAGTAACTTGCAGGGGATTTGCAAAGCATCAGCACCTCTTATTGACAATCTCAGCTACAGATTTGTGATTAGTTAGCTCAATGTATATTTAGACATATTTAGAGGCTGTTACATGATTTAGTTTGTGAATGTCTGATTAGCACCCAGGATCAGAGCTTGGAGACATTCTGGAGAAATTTCCTGCGTCATTTGAAAATATCAAATTCAACACAGGGATTGCTATGAGTTGCCTCAAAATCCTTGATACTAGCCTAGGACACAAACTGATATTTCTGTCCATTAAAAATTTACTCAAAATATTCTTTGCTTACTTTGTCTCAGAAGCTTCTAATATAAATTCCCCGCACTAAGGACATAGTGTGATCTATACCAGTCACCCATAGGGTTGTGTCCTCTCTCCCTGCTGCACAGGGCCCCAAATAAAACCTGTGAAGCTTCACAACTACATGGGGGCAGTAGAAAGTGACACAACCATAACTGATGTGGCACAATGGAGCAGGACAGTACATTCCACGTGTTTAAGAAATGCCACTGTGAACTGAGTTAGAGAGGAACAATTCCCCCAAGGGGTGTTATATACATTCAACATCTGGTCACGCTCAAATTCCCACTGTATGAACCCATGTACTTACAGAGGCCAAAACAGTCCAGACACTGGATGCAGAGCCTGTGGTCACAGTATCTTGCAGTCTTAAACGACCACACTAAATGGTCCATCTGGACTTAAGGAAAGTTGCCCAGGATGTGGATCTCAAGTTGCATCTCTATTCCTCACAGTCACCTCTGTGGTGACTATGAGAGTTGTCTTCTCCTTTATCTCCATTTCTTGCCTAAAGCCTTTGAAGAATTGGGATCAAGATTTTTGAATTGTCACTCAGAGACCTCTGCTACAATGGAACATAGCCAGGGTGCCTGGCTTCTGTTCAGTATCATGTATGTAAAACACAGCACCTCTACTTAACGCACTGTGAAAACCCAAGAAAAAACTCCCTGGACAGGCAGTGACACTGTCCTTGCTTCTGAATCTTTGCTCCATGCTCTGCTGTAAGAGAAAGCCAGCTACTGGACGTCACTCGTGGTTTCCAGCCTTCCATGTGCTGCTGACACTCTCTGGCTTGTTCCTCCTGCGTACTGACAAAATACTCCTCTGATGTCTTCTGCAGTTGGAGTTCCAGGACCCTTCTCTGGATCTTTTTCCCTATTAACCCTCACTATCCTGCCTTTGGCAGGCTGTGTCAGGGAGGACCACTGTATCTAAGCTTGAGCTACTTCGACTCAACTCTGTACTCACCTAGCTTCCTGGCTTCCAGCAGGTGTCAAAGTGGGTTGCATGAGATGTCCAGGCAGATTAGGGAGTAGCTGTGGGGTCAGGGAACTGTGTATGGCCTGAAGGCACTCAAACTCCTTCCTGTAGTTGTTGTTGCTAGAGATCAGTGTCCTCACAGAAAAGGAGCTCTCTTCCAGTGGTACCAAGTTCCTGTGGGACACTAAATTGTGCATGGCCAGATCATTTGCTTTCTGGACTCCCTAATACAAGAGTAGCCATTCAAGATAATGGAAAGCACAGCGCTTGTGTGGCTAGTACAGATGCTCTAGGATCACACACTACATTGCGAGCATACTACATGTGTGTGCTAGAAATGCTTGTGGGTCACTGTCAAATGCTGTTACTTAAATGTCAGATAGTTTGTCCTGTTCCAATTCCATGTGATACAGGGAAACATAAGGAGCAAGAGTTTTCAGACTTTTATACACAGTGCTATTCCATGAGGCAGGTGGAAGGTGTCTACCAAAACAGGCTTGATCACTTCCTGCTGACCACTTTCTGAAACAGTGAATGAGACAGGTGGCTAATAAGCATCTGATTGTGGTGTCTGAGGCAGATGTGCAAATTCCTTCTCGGGTAGCCTGAGGTGTACACAGCATGACTGTCTGTCTCTGGCCCTGACTCCATGCTTCGTAGGGGAGCATCCATATGAGACACCTTCCACATATAGTGGCATAGCAGGCCATTCCTATATCCAACAAGGGTGAGCCACCATGTTTCCCACTTACCTCTTGTGAATACAGAGCACAGGAGGTTTGAATAAATCTCCACAGGGAATAAACTGGGAATCCCTCTTTCCCATGAGTGTCATAAGAAAGTGAATGGACCATGATCCTTCTAGTCTATGATCAGGAAACTAAACCTTGTTTTAGAGAGATGTCTCACTGTGGTTAAGCACTAGAAATCCAAGCAATGATAGTTCAAAACCTGGGTACTAGACTCAAGTGCCCCATTTTATTCTGATCCTGCCTGCAGGACTCAATGGACAACTTCACCTTCACCCTAGGCAAAGATGAGAAGAAACCTCACCACTGGATTACAGTGGGCCCAGCAGGACCACATTGTGTGTGACTACCATTGGAAGACCCTCTGCCTTGTGATGAGTGTGCCACCACCAACTACATGACAACCAAGGGAAATGAAATTTGTGCAGAAAGACCATTCCTGGTGCCATGACTGCTTCTGTGTCACCTGTGACCATATTCAGCTTCACTTTTCCTGAGATTCCCTAGGTCTTGTCCAAGTCAAGCAGTGTTCAGAAGCTGCAGGATTCAGAGGTTGCAATTCAAAGCCCTGATTTATGTATAGAAATAAGAGGACTTCATAGGTACAAGAAAAGCACTCTTTAGAAGACTTTGAACGGAAGAAACCTGAGTTTTCTGTATGAGACTCACCTTGTTAGTTTACGTGGTTGCAGAAGGACCTGACTTCTCACCTGCCTCTGCCACGGTGGGCACAAGCAGGGGCACAGATGTCCAGTGATGGCCCCAAGGCAGGTCACCAGGGGGCAAAGTCTCCTGTCTCAATGTCATTCTGACCTTCTTAGTTGCACGGAGAGGGATTTTGCTCACCACAAAACCCAAGCACGTACTTTTCTTGTGAAGCTCCTGTGCAGATGGAATTTGTAACGAGACTTCCATAATAGAATCTGAAGTTATTAATTACCAATTATAGTTTGGTCTTAGACTCACTCCAGCATGTGAGTGAGGGAGATAGGTCTGAGGATCTGGCTTGTTCAATTTAAAAAGCAGAAGAAATTTAATTTGTTTAAATCAGATTTCTACCAGGGAAAAGCCACAGACAAGCTCATCAACGCAAGTTCATTTTTCAAAAAGTGCATTTGTTCAATGGAGAATGACTTCACTCAGGATGCAAGTGCATGCCCAATATAGAACTTTCACAGCCCCATGCACCTCTGAGCTGCCTTCTGAGTTCATTTCCAACTGCATTGTGCTTAGAGTATCAAGGAGTTCTGTTTCACTGTACTAAACTTATTTCTTCCACAAGAATCGTGCTTTCTTATACAGTACATTTTGTAAACTGACTTTTTCATAGTTTTGTCCAATAACACCAATCATAATTACAATGAAGAATACTATGGCAAAAAATAGTGATGGAACTGACCTTACCTCACTCGTTCAGTTTTCCCAAAAATGTGTCCAAGGAACTATACTGAGAAGTCACTGGTCCCTCTCCTGCCTCTCTTGCCTAGTGAGTGACCTTCAGAAGGGGCTGTGATGTATTCATCTATGTAGCCCAAAAGCCTTCCATGGGTCTTGCCATCTATCTAGAAAGAGCTATTAAATATCTACAGAATGCAAGACTTTCTAGAAGTCAAGTTGAACTTCCCAAGCAATGTCAAATTCAGAGTAATACGATATCAGACATTTTATTACTATCCCAAAAGCAGTTATTTATAAAATTTGGAAGAAGCATACTATGTTTAATATGCTCTTTCATGCTTTTTAGGTGATTTTTTGCCTTGCAAGATAAACCATAGAGTAAATTGAAAAGAATGTCATTAATAATCAAGAGATGAAGTCGTTATGGGAAAAGCAGTGTAAATTCTCAGGCTGTGTCTGGAAGATTGGATTGCCACTCTTATCAAATGAGTGTACACACAGGCAAACTCTTTCATTCAGTGTATGTTAAGTGAGCATCTCCAAGGCACAGAGGTAGATAAAGCACACTGTGTAATCTCAGGAAGGTCAATGTGTAGTTACCACCTGTGTGAGTGACTTCACAGTGTCCAGTAAGTGCTGAAGTCCCAAAAGAGTAGCTGATGGTACAGCAACATCCACTATGGTTCTGACATACAAGTAAACGACTTCTCAGAAAAAGTAACAATAAGCAGTCTCAAGCCAGTGAAAGGATCACTTATTGAGCCATAATGGATATATTCAGTATATTTACTCCTGAAAGGCAGTGTGATCTAGCAAAAGATGAAAACAAAACAAACTGTTGAATGCAACTGGATTGATATGTTAGATTGCATTTAAGATTTTTGTTTCATTGCTTGAGAGAGAGTCTGGGTGAGACTTCACCCACCTCAGCCTCAACTGCTGAGGTTACAAGCCTGAATAATGGTGCCTAGATTGAGATTACATCCAAATGAAAGTTTTCTTGGATAATCACATACATTCTCTGAATGCCTCTTTCTTCAAGGGGCAAATGTAGATAATAGGTTATATCTCACAAGATCACTGTGAAAATAAAAAAAAGGGGGACAAATATGGAGGAAGCAAGACAACTACCACTTCTTTTGAAAACATGTTACCAACTGAATAAAAGACATTTTTTTTTAAATTTTATTTAAGGAGAAAAGAAAAAAAAAACAGAGAACGGGTACAAGTTATACAGATTTACAGAAAAAAATGAACAGTAGGAAATCACTAGTTAATGGATTACATATTGTCATCTTAGAAATAATTGTTCAAGTCACAAAATTAAAGCTTGTAAAGTGGACATTCCATCAATGATACTGCAAACAGATCTGTTCAATGATCCAATAAAACTCCGTGATATCATTTTCTATCTTATACGCTTAAATATACATGCAGTTATATAGTTTAGAGCACTTTCTTTTCCTCTCTTTTGTACAATGACTATTACACATTTTGGGTTTCATTGCTCCCATGGTTCTTATTACTTTTTTGGAAGAGAGTAAAACCAAATGTGACATAGCAGAACAGAATCGGTCAAGTCAAAAGGGTGGACATAATAGATAATGTGAAAACATAATACAAGGTGATCAACAATGGTTACCATAATGCCTCCCGCTATCTCTAATAGAATTGCCTATATCGGTAGTTATAATACAATTGAACAAAACAGTAAAGAATAAAACCGACAAAACCAAAACATTGAAGATATTGTAGGTCTTCAAAAGTAGATAAAAGTCAACGAGAATAGGCGTTATAATGAATCTCATTATCTTCACAGCTGATGCCTAAACTTTCGAACCTGATACTATCCAGCAAAACAGAATAGGGGAACATCAGTTAAAAACCAGATGGTGAGAGTAATACAGGGCTTTAAGTCGAGGTAATGGAAAGTCAAAGTGGGTTACTATAATATATCCTGCTATTTTTTTTCTTTAATTAAAAGGATAAAAATTAAAAAGTAAATAATGGAGTGGAGATTGAGATAAAAGAGGGCATAACAACGAAACAGTGCAGATCAAAACATAACCATTTAAGCAGAATAGTGTTTCACCACCAGATAATCCTGACCTAAAAGTAGTTACCGTATTGTCTCTTTCCTTGAAATCCTTGAGTACAACTTCGTATACTGTAGCATTAAGTATATCAAAACAATATAAAAGACAAATTAAATGAATGCAAGCAAAACCCAAGCTATGAGAGTGGCATACTGTGTAAACTCTTTTTCCAAAGGACAAAATAGTTTTTCAGGAAATGCAGACAATAAAATATATGATTTACATATACAACATGTTGTATGTAACTTGTAACATGGGTAATATAATTTGACATTGAATACCTATTACTATTCATGTAATACATTAATAGTACACTATGTAATGTAATAGAGAAGTCACTTAGTAAATAATGCAATGATAGCATCAAATACAAGGAAATTAACTGCTAGTATTTATATAGCCCCTTGTGTATACCAGAAACTGAGCTTCACAACTTTATATGCATCTAATGTCATTTGATAGCCACAATATGAACCTATGAAATGGGTATTTTATTGTGCTTACTTAACACATCGAGATCCTAAAAGTATAATAATTAAGAGTACAACTCTAAAAGTCTATTAAGTGGCGAAGACCAGGTTAAATATTTAGCCATACCCTTAGCCAGAACAAAAACATCATAAATGACTTGTGAGAAAGGTGGAATTCTGACAGTATTTGAAAAAAATGCTCTCTCCCTTCCCTGTTGAACCCTTTCCTACCTCTTCCCTCTAGCCATGCCTTGGTTTCTAAGTGCTTTGTCAATATGCACATTCTAGAGATGTGATCTCAGCTTTTGAGCATATATTCTGTTCAGAATTTAATCTAGGACCCAAATATCAGAAATCATGATTAGTGTAGAACAAACGGAGCCCTCTAAAGAACTCAGAGTATTAATCCAAAGGGTATTAAAGCAACATTTTATTTTGTTTTGATTGTTGTGTGCTTGTCTTTTTGATACAGGGTGTTGTATTTTAGTTCCGGCTGGCCCTGAACTCTCTATGTGGTCCAGACTGGCTTCAAACTGTTCTCCTGGCTATAGTTCTAATAAAGTGTTAGTTACAAAGTAGAGGACCAGTATGGGTCCATCGCTAGCCTGTTGTCCTAAATATTGCTTTAAATATTACCTAGTCAATTGTGGCGTTAGTGCACTCTCCAGTTCTGGTGTTTCTCTTTCCTCACCTTCCCCTTAGCTAGGGATCCTAAGAAACAGACCAAGGTAGAACAGCTTTGTTGGTTTTGCAGTGAGCCTGGGAGCCCATCAGCTTCCCAAGTAGAACACAGTTGGTGTCTCCAACTCCCTTTATGCCTCTCCATGCCAACTGCTAGTGGGGCTCCTTATGCTACAGGATGGCCAGGCTCAGGGAAACCTCCAACACAGCACAGCACTTAAACTGGGGAAATGGAACTCCACTAATTGAGATCACTAATTAGGAAAATAAGCAATAAGTGGCTGAATTCCCGTGTGACTGTTTGTAACGTAGCAAAGATAACACTTTAATGGTACCAAAGTAGCCACATCTTACATCTATCTTGAACCTCGATTGCAAGTACTTTTGTCTCCAGGGCTTTCTTTTTTGTGTTTCCTGTCTTCATTCCAAATGCAGCTGCTGATATATACACTTGTAAGCACAGGCACACAAACTCAGAGCCAGTGTGAGCTGAAAGAAAATAAGATTTGTTGAATCTCAGTTTCAGGATGGGCCCTACTTAATTAAAATGGAAAAGGATATCAGAACTTTTTTCTGCTTGAAAAGTCTCTTCTTGGGGAGAAAGAAATGGTGGATCACTTGTGGATCAGAGGCGGGTGCACTGTGCATCTTGGGTAACTACCTAATTCTGCCACTAGTCCAAGGACCAGTCTTTGCGTCTTCTCTCTAGGACTGCTTAACACTCACCTTCCCTTAGTTTAAAGGACATTTTCGCATGGACCCTGGAGGTTCTTTGCTTGTGGGTGCACACTCGCCTCACTCGCTTCACGCTTGCCTCTCATTCTTTGGCCCCTTTCCTAACCACATAGGCACCTAGAGACAAATTCAAAGATGAGACTTTTAGTAGAAAGGCTTTCAAGGTATTTTCTTAGTCTAAAAGTGATTTTTCTCTACCAGAAATTACTTATGGATGGTCCTAAAACCTCAATCCTGGGAACCTTAGCAACACAACACCCATAATTAGGACAAGTTTCCTCCATTCATCTTGTTTAAGGGTGTTGTCACAAGAAAATGATACTCGGCATTCTTAAAGAGAACTGTAATAACTTGGGGACTTTCTCTGCCAATGTACCACAGACCACAAATTACTTCAGTTTCATGAGCAATTTGGGTACCTGTCCTTACTTGAACTAATATCTGACTGCTGGGTCTCTAACCTCACATTCAGAAATGTGGATTTACCCAATAGCATGAACAGAACAGATGCTACCCTGGTTCACATCTTCTAACGACATTTGGAGGACACACACTGTGCTCTGGCTTAGCTCTTAGCAGCAGGATAAAGCAGAACAAGTCACCTAAACTCTTTGTTTTCTCAGGGGGAAAGAAGAGCTGAAAATGTTAATTCAATTTCCCACAAAGGATATAAATTCAGATCACTTACAGGATCCAAGGACTGAGCCTGCGTTAATCTTCATTTTGTGCCTTTATCTTCAAAGAGGGCCATAGGAGAGGACACCAGGTGGCCATGTCACATGGACCCCAAATGACAGGGTCATAGTTTATGTGCTTTTCCCTTAGAGTCAGAGCATGCAGAATTAGTAGAAGTGCACAAAGAAAGTGGAGGTTGTAACAACCAGGCATAATCCTTACTCATCGAGTGGCATGATGCTTCCGACTCTTAACATGCACATTTTAAGAAGTGGCCCAAATCATTCTGGGAGTGGGCACTAAACTGCCCACATGAGCATGGAAATATATGGGGGTAGGAGCAACCTCTACGAGCACTGGTTTTCTGGGTGTGCAAACATCGTTCCTGAATCTGATCTAATGCTTAATCCATAAAATAGTCACATCTCACAATGAAGGTGACCCCTTTCCTTCCCTGTGGGAAGTTGGAAGAACATTCTTATTTAGCCATCTGTATCTATTTAATGAACATTTTCTGAAGCTCTCTGTGTGTCACACTATTAAATTAGTAGTTGGAATATTTTATTAGCTGTGTTTGTCGTCCCTGAACTAATAATGCAATAATGGTAGGTGATCTATAAAGGATTACATACAACCGAGGTTATGCCAAAACAGAATAGCGATGAATCACGCATTTTAACACTTATGGTGGACTTTCCCATTGCTTAACTGGATCACGAGAGTAACTCTGTGCCACAGATCACGCACACATCCTTATTCTATCTTATGAATATTTTCTTCATTTCCTGTCCACCCCACAACAATTACAAACATCTTTGCATTAACGGGAGACCTTTTTCGTGAAAGAAACAGTCATCCAGTCTCTTCCTTGTTGCTTTTCCAACTCAAACATGAGCAGGTGACCCAGTGACCAAAAGCCACATAGACTGTAATTCAGTTTGGAGCAACAATGAAAGAGGAAGTTTCTTATTTAGACTGCCCGTTCCTGGGAACAGCACTGAAAACAGTCGTGTTAGGGAGGAGCTGTTTCTTCACCAAGTGACACCTGGGACTCAGCTTTGGTTTTGTTCACTTAGATCAGGGAAATGTCATTGGTGCTAGTTGCCTAACTTTCCCAATGATCCCATGAGCTTCCAAAATCATTTTAGTGAGCAAATTTTTAAGAGAAAATGCTTACATGGAAAAGTGGATTCTGAGATTCTAAATAGCTGAATATCTTATTCCCATGGTGCAACTCAAAGAACTCAACTTCACAATGTGGAGACATTTATCCAAGGTAAACAGGCTTCACCTCTTCCCTTTTATGTCAGTGTGACCCTGAAGAGAGTGACTAAACCACCTTACCCAAAACACAGTGTAATGATTGATATATTGTGTCAACTTGAGAAGTTTAGACATTTAACTGAGAGCCTCAGCAGGGAGCCAGGATACTTACTTTGTAAATATCTTCATCCTGTGCAAGAGGAGGGCACAGAGATTTTATGAGTGCTACACTCTGCTCTTGGGAGGCTTGTGTTCAATATGCCGGGTGGGAAAAGTATCTTACTCTTTCCTTCCCCTCCATTGCTTTTGCTGCTGCCATGAAGTGTTGCCCCAATGCCATGTCATTCTGCCTTCTAGCCAGCTAATTATGGACTGAAACCTCCACAAACTGTAAGCTAAATACACCTTTCCTTCCTTCTTTTTGGGATCAGGTATTTTATCTCAGCAATGAAAGAAAAGTAGCCAAGACTTATAGGGACTGAGTGTTAATAATACTGCTTTCAGAAGTGTTACAGTGTCACAGTGTAGATGGTACATTATAGTATAACCTTAAGAATGTTGTCAAGAGATGAACATTCAACCACAATTTGTGTTAAATTAATAAAAAATTAAGGAAATATGAGCATACGATGACATTTAACTCCTCATTTGCAGTAGTACTGCAGTAGAGTAGAGGGAAATGAATAAACAAAGAGCCCCTCTACCGGGAACCAGAATATTAGGGAACCCCTGCTCTGTAAGATCTTTTCATGAAGCAGATTTATCTAGTGATTATCCCACTGGCAAGAGTCAGTACAAGTGCAGTTTTGAAAACTATCACAGATACACACACAACTGCATACATGTGCATGTGCACACACACACACACACACACACACACACACACACATGCAAATACATATACCCCTAGAGTTGGAAAATTCAAGGATCCTTTTAAACCTTCACTTCAATATAAGGAACCCAGCATCTTTGCTATTTATGTGTGAAGAGAGAAATCTTTACTGTCATTCTTGATGTGCACAGCTATAGTTATCTTAAAACACAGTGAGATGTTTCCCATCTAAACCTAAAAATATATCAGTCCAAAGCAATGGACAATTTGTACACAGTTCAGTTAGGCTTTGTCAAGTGAATTATTCTTGCATCATCTCAGTATTTTTATAAGTGGAACTTTCTTATGTTTTTTCTGTGTATAACAGAAGCTCAGTCTCAGTGTGGCCCTATTGGATGTAACCGGAGGCCCCACAAAGGAGTCATTTTATTTAGGTCTGAAAATAAAAAAAACTGAGTAAAATAAGTGAGCTCTAAATAAAGTTATGGCTACAAAGTCAAGCTCACTTGGATCTGTGTTTTTATGCAGGTGAATGTGCTTTAAAACTTCGGCTTTGCTTTGTAATGCCCAATAAGTCTTTCTCGAATTGCAAGCCTCTCAATTGCTCTGAGTAGCTGGGTAGACTTATGATTTATGTCCTACCAGCTTCCCTCCTAGACTAAAGGAGGCTTCCCACGAAGATGCAAGTATGCATATAGTTTTGGAAACAGTTGGAGGTGTAAATATCAATGTAATGACAAAATACCCACAGGAAAGTTAAAACATCAATAAAAAAGAAAAAAGAAAATGCATGAAGAAACGAGGTGATAACCACAGTCAGGAAGAAATTTAAAATGTATTCAGGACTCCCTAGCAGCCAAGATACAAAGGGAAAGAGTTGATGTAGAAGAGAGGTGAATGGAGAATTAACCATAACCCATCTAGCAGGCTGCCTGTCGCGTGCTGCAACCTCTTTTGCAGAGGCAGACAATCAGCAGGACCGAGCTTGGTTTCCACCTCTCTTCTTTTTTTTTTTTTTTTTTTTTTTTGTCTTTTTCTTTTTTTATCGGTACCGGGGATCGAACTCACGACTGCCTGCTTACAAAGCAGGTGCTTATGCCGCTGAGCTAAATCCCCAGCCCCTCCACCTCTCTTCTGAGGATAACATGACAGCCCGTATGTTATCTCTCAATAAAATTTTAAAAAGAAATGGGAATTCAACTCCCTCAAGTCAATAACACCTGAGTGTTATTGAGAAAATCACCTGATACCTCAAAGTAGCATTTTGTTTATTTTGAAAATACTGGCTAACAATAAAACTCTGATGTATTCTTACCAGATTCCTCTTGGATAATGTACTAGACTATACTTTATCATATGTAAGCTGTTATGTGGATTTTAACTGATTTTATAGTTTTTGCCACAGCATGGATGGAGGCTTGCACAAAAGGAGCATAACGGCCAAAAATATTATTGGTCATCGTTTTTCTCAAAAATTTAATTCAACTTTTACCCTCAGCATACTCAAGAAAGCCCAAACTTCATGAAATCCCAGGGTTAAATATGCTCCTGTGCTCTCTGTGGCTGTCACCTGCCTTTGGGAGATTTGTTTCCGCAGGTAAGCTCCAGAGCTCTGGTCAGCATGGGTAAGATGCAGTGGGCGAAATGGAGAGGAAGAAGAAGAGCCACAGGGTGCCTGCCCCTGGCCTCCTGTGCCCAGCCCTGTCACCCCATGTACCCCCTCTTCCTGCACTCCAATGAGCTGTTACAAGTTAAGTTGCAATTTTTAAAGAAGCACTGGGGCATTTCTTAATTGGATTTCAGTATCTTAATATTCTAGGAAGAAGGAGAATTTGAAATTCCATACTGTTTTTCAGAGTACGGAGGTACTTGCATAAGCTCAGCCTCTGCTAAAGAAGAGGCAAGGGGGGTGGGGTGTATTCTATAAGCAACTATTTTGATCCTAACATTTATTATTTATTTACTTAACAAAAGCACTGTACATGGCACTGTAATTGATGGTATCATTTGATGTTGTCAAGAGCCCTATCAGATGGTAGTTATGATCTTCAATCTACATACCTGTAAACTGACTCACACAGCCAAAATTCAAGCCTTCGATTAAAGATCACTTGTTGTGTGGAGATTTTCTTTACTCCCTACCTAACATGGCAGCCCTAAGTGATGCCCGATCAGATAATCCCATTTACTTGTTTCATAGCATTTATTAGAACCTGTATTTGTTAATGGCTTATTTATTGTTGTTCATTTCCTTCACAAGAATGTATCCTACAGAGACAAGAATCACACCTGTCTCATTCACCTGCATTTTTAGTATCTAGCACTACAACAATTTTTTAATAAATAAATAAATGGTCTTCAAAAGAAAATACTCTTTTCACTATCATGCATTAATTTTTATTTTCTTTTTAGATGCATAAAGCAAACATTAAGTGAATTATGAATGTCTGTGTTGTACTAGGAAGATTTTATTTCAAATTGAATGCGTAAGAATAAAATCATTTCCTATGGATCACCAAAGACACTTTTAATATATTCTAATATGAAAGATAGCATTGGAATTTATGTGAGAGCTTCAGGATATTTAGCCTTGGGAACCTTGAAGTCTTTTAGCTCTATTTGATCCAAAGCACGACTGAAATCTTAAGAGAAAATGAATTGTGCCAATAAATATTTACTTTCATCTTCTTTTCTGTGAGCCTACAGAGTCACTTCTAAACTGTCTTAAGGATGGAAATTACATGATCACTTGAATGGCTCTTTGAATATGTAACCAAAGGAAAACCTTTCTAAGGCAAAATGCTCATTTTTCTACTATACGTTACCATGTATAAATTACCTTGAATTACTCCAGATGTAGGAATTGATTTTAAGAAACTCAGATGCTTAAGTTAAAAAAAGTTAAATGAACTCATCTAATACCTGTATATGCCAGTGAGAAAACACCTCTTCCTCCCTGTATCATTCGGTGGCATACACCATTTCCTCTAGATAATTCCCACTCTAGTTCATGATAAAATTTACACGATATCCTCCAGAAAAAGTCTTCTCCTCTTCTCCTTCCCACACTGTATATGGTCTTCACCCTGGGCTGTGTCCCCAGTCCTCATTATCATTTTATTTTTTTTTAAATCCTGAGACAGAATTCATTGAATTGCTGGGATTGCAGGATCCTCCCACCTGGCCACTCATTCCACAAATCATATGTTATTGCCACTATCTGCTTAACTAGCTTAATTATTTAAGACACCTACAGCAACACCTGCATTTATTCATGTCTGTGTTTCATTACCAGATAAATAACCAAGCTTTATTAAATAGTTGTTACAGATTAATGAACGAGCAAATAGAATCTAGTTTCTTTATTGGAGAATGAGGGGTGACCAATGAGTACAGACAGAACTTTTCTCACAAGAGGTTCCCTGGCAAGTCTCTGGGGTGGCTCTGATTTCTATTCCCTACTGCTGCCTGGATCCTGAGTTTAAAACAAGTCATCAGGGGGTAACAGGAAGATGTGGACTGGCAAATGCAAGTGAGTAGAGCATTGTGGAGGATTTTTCTTTGGCAGACAAACATGTGTTGATTGATTCTAGGCAGTATGGTAAATCTTCAGGAGCTGTTAACCAAGGGAAATTTGGAAAAACTGTAGAGGAGTTTGTAAAGCTGCTGCCAATGTTATCACAGTGGAGCATTTTGAGAAATGTACTTTTTTAATACGTTACACTCATTTTGCAGATGTATATACCCCCTTCCCCTGCATACCTTACCTTAAAATCTGCCTCTGTTTCCTACCATCTCTATGGAGGAAGCTCATTTCAGTGTGACCTTCGTGACTTCAACTTTTACAAAGTACTCTGTGAGTAATTACAGAAAAAATAATGAAGGCTGACTAAGAAATGAGAATGTTTAGAAAATCACAGAAACAGTAGATTATTTACAACAATTTTTAAATTTTCAATGAAAAAGATAAATTCCATAACATTAACAGGGGACATGGATAAGAATCATTCCTAAGGTTGAAGTAGTGTTATTTTTTCCTCTATCAACATCCCCCCCAAAGCCTCAAGAGGTCAGAGGGGTGACTTTTTGGGGGTGACTGGGTCATTGGTGTGTGATACTGGATCATGGGTGTGATACTGGTTTAATTCACTGACTGATCTAGCAAATTTGTGGGCAAAGGCATTACTGAAGAGAGAAGCTCCATCCTTGGTGTGGGTGGCACCAACTAACAGGCCTGTAACCTGTCTGGGTCCTTGCTTTCTGCCTACCCTGCCATGGACTGTTTCTCCTCCACCATACCACCCTGCCTTGGAGGCAGCCAACTGTGGACTGAAACCTCCACAAACTGTGTGCTAAAATAAATCTCTCCTTTAATTTATGGGCACTGAATATCTTATCTCAGTAACAAGAAAGTAACTAAGACAAGTAGAAACATCAAATAACCAAGAAAATGAAACAAAGAATGATTTCCCAAGAGCCTCACTTGGCTAATAATTTAACTAGTTTTTTTCTAGGAATTGAAAACGAAAATTAGCAATACATGTATGCATACATACATATTTTAGTGTTTATATAAATTGATATAACATCCTACAACACAGTATAATTCTTGGCATTGGATATATGATATTTGGTCTATGGTTGTTAAGTTCTGAAACTATACTTTCTCTAGGTAATTTTAAAAGTAAATTTAACTATATCACACTCCAGGCTTTACTAATTGTACAGTAATTATTTGTTAAGTGATACATGACTAAATGAATGTTGATATGAGATATTACCTTTACCAACCAAATCTTCTAGTTTCTCCTTCCATTCTTTTGCCCATATGTGGCTAACTACCCATATACAAGGCTTTTAATCAGCCTTACGTGGATTATGCCTATGCAACCTTACGCATGCTACAGTTACTTAGATGCCTATCCTAATTCTTTCTCTATGGGGGTAACTTCTACCATCTATCCACACCCAATTCATGCATGCACCACTGTATCACTTTCTCTGGGGAACTTTGCTTTATGCCACACATGGAACGATGCCTCAACTTCCTATCACTCACTGCACCCAGGATGTAGATATATCTTACTTTGTTTCATTGATGCTTTTTCAAAGGTCATCCACTATAGTGTTCCCAATTTTCCTATTGAAAATAATTCTGCAATGAACTTGATTACAAACACACAATTGCATATTTATATCAAGTTTTCCAGAATGACTTAAATACCATTAAAAGCATGAGTGCTTAAAATAAATCACATGTGATAATATGTGGGACTATTTATGTGCATGTTTGCTTCTTTGTTATTTCAAAGACTATAATCTAAAATCAAACATGCTATTCTGTTTTAAAGAAAATTTTGCATTTGAAATAGAAAATTTTGCATGAAATTCTTCATGTCTATGGTTAATTTCTCATTGAATTCTTAATTGTGTGTATTTTCACTTTTTAATACTTGTTTCTATTTTTATTAGTGCTTTGATTTTCACATTGTGTTTCTGTATGTAGACCTTTTCACACTATTTTAAAATTCTTGTTGGATGATTATTTTTATTATTACTTGTCATGACATTAAATTTTTAAGTTATACATTGTGCTCCGAATCAATTTCAGATCTGCAGAATAGTTATTGGAGTGTTTTATAACTATTATTATCTATATACTGATCTGTAATACTTTTGCATTTTTGATATTAATGTTTATTATGATCATTTCAGTATTCAATATTCTACAGTTCATACATTTTTGCTAATTTAACTTTCTTTTGGAATATCTATTATGTCTATATTGGAATAAACTTTTCTTTATCTGCATCCCTGGTTTGCTTATATTTGTTCTGTAATTTATAGTATTAAATACATTTTACCATCCAATTTCTTATATGTGCACTTATGCATATTTGTGTAACTTATTATGTATATGAACACAAGTCAAGCACTATTGTGATTTAGTACTGAATGATTACATCTGTGGAGTCACATGAAGGAAGTTTTGCTTCCTTTCTGTCACTTCTACTTTATGGAATCATTTGTTTCATTGGTGGTTATACTATTCTTGCACATTTAAGGTATTTCTTGAACAACAAGAATCATTGGTTGCATATGATTACTGATGCCACTTCACATTAAAAACGTCTCTCATGTGTTCCTCCATTCTCTTAGTGTTTATTAGTTGCCTCCTATGTGAAGCACAGGATTCTTTGTGGATCTAGTGTCCTGCTAATGTTTTATTGCCATGGATTCCACATCAGTAGGGAATAATTACTATTTTCCCTGAGTTCTGGGTCTTCCATTCTATGGCCTGCACATATTTATTTTCCTAAAACCCTCTTCCAAAGGTTTTATTTCAGCATGTGACTTCTTTTAATCATCAACATGTTCATGTAAATTTTCATCTTCCTTGAATTTCCATAGCTGTACTAAATTTAGTTTCAATTTTGACTACTGTAAATTATTGTTTTAAAAAGCCAAACACTGCTTTGCCTACAGTTCCTTGTCTTAACCTGGATTTCTTTGAGGATACTTTAGTAGTTTTTCCTATTCTCTTCCCCAAGGCATCATCAGTGCCAAAAGAGGATGATGCATCTGCCCATAGCCACTGCATGTGGGTGACCTGATGCCCACGGACTCAGCCCTCATGGGCGGTGAATGAGAATCAGAGCTAGCCTGTCACTGCCTGCTGTTTGCACTAAGTACTCAGATGGGGTGTACACCGCACCTCCAAAGCCCAGGGATCCCACAGGAATACCTGCTCACTAACTTGTCTAAAATCATGTCTTGAAAACCTACTTGTCAAGCTTGTGTCTCAAACTAAGGTGAACTTTGTGCCCACTTAAAGATTTGTATCTTTCTCTATGGCAGAAAAAACTGGTTTCTGTGTTATATTTTTCTGTTCTATAAGCACATTTGTTATCTTATGTAATCATCCTGATCCTCAGGATAAGGTGCCTTCCTTTACATAGTAAGTTGCCTCCAATACATAGTGAATGTTGTTTTCTTAACATTGCTCTCTATTTGCTTGTGCTATCTTCCAGGTCTCCTCTTTAAATTTATACTGAAGGGCTGTATTTTGACAGTTTTGCTCAGGTGCACAAACACTGTATAGTATGAGCCAACCGTGTATCTCCAGTGGCAAATTAGAGCCAGCTACACCAGCAAGTAGTGCCACAACTTGGTGTCATTAACACAAAACCTTGCCTCTACCTGAAGTAGTCTTCTTTCTCCTATTTATTGAACACAGATAATTCATGCTTCTGTTCTCAGCTCAGAAGTTACACCTCAGAGAACTCATCTTCATCACTTGAACCAAATTAGCCTCCATATTATGGGCGCTAATAGTAGGGTTTGTTGAGAGATGAAAATGGTTAAACCATCTCTTAGTAAAGGGATATTTGACAGTCATTTGGATGACTGGAATGCAATGGCACCTCAGTTCACAGACTTAGTTCTTTCCACAATTTTAGTCACAGAAATTGTTCCATGATTCTGGTCCCAAATGAATTTCAAGCATACGCAAACAGAATCATGGAACAAATTCTGGAACGAGAACAGTGGAAAGAATTAACTTCATGAACCAAAGTACCCCTGTGCAAGCAACAGCCACACAGAATATGGGTTCAGTTGTCTCTCCCTACCTTATATAATTTCCCAAGATTTATTACAATTCCTATGTTAATTTTTGTATGATTTTTAATATTGTATGCCTCACTAGCTATCAGTTCAAAAGTCCAATCTGTTTATTCACCGTCATCATTTCTTCTCACCTAATGCAATGTCCAGTACCCAAAAGATAATAAATTTCAGTCAAAGACAATATGGATAAATTAAGAAACAACAACATCATTCTGGATATCAAAATTTGGTTAGCTCATTTTCCAGTTCTTGTAGATGATGGCTCACAAGCTTTTAAAGGCAAATACTGATCAATGTACACACCAAGGATATCATCATATAAGTGATAAAGAATTGTGATGCGCACAGCCAATACTAAAAAGATGTAAAAAAGTGTCCTCTGTGGCGCTGAGACAAACACCATCCAGACCAACCATGCATCTGAGGAAGCACCTGTCAGTCACAGTACCAGAAAATTCATCTGTGCAGCAAAAGTTTCAAATGCAGAAATAGGGGAAAGCACTCAATTCTTACCGATGTTTTCAGGCTAGTTAGAGAGTACTGGACATTTTCACATTAAGCCTCTTCATCACAAGAGTGTCAGAGTGATTTTTAAGGTGATTGGAAAAGTACACTATTGTTTTTCCCCTGCTTAGGAACATCTTGATGTAGAATGTAACACTCTGAAACTACTTGAAGAGAATTAACCTCTTAAATTTCTTGTTGTTATAAAAAAAATTCAATTCATTCCATGTTTTTAGGTTTTGTTTTTTATTGGTGAAACCTGCACAAGTAAATCTGCTTTTTCAATTTACATGTTTTAAAACAAATTTAACATATTGTCAAATAAATGTGTCCCAGCTCAAGGATACTGAACTATTTCCATTGGTAAATGTGTGAAATATATTTATGTGCTGGTAACCTGAAAAAAATATTTCACATTATCCGTAAAGGTCTGTGAATGTCAAATGCTTTGCAATATCTTCCGGAAGGAAATAGTCTGAAGAAGTCTTTATTTTGTTCTCAAAAAAGTTTTCATTTTCCCTCCCCTGGAAAATAGTTGAATGTTCAGTTTATATGTTCTGAGTCTCAGGCCTTTCTCCCTGGAGCTCTTTCCCTTTCCAGACAACATTTCAAACTGCCTTTATTATCTCTTCAGCTTGAACACTGCAATTCCCATAGAAAGTGTTATTTTGCCCACAATGCCAAATTGCACGCCCCTTGAAAAGATCACTTCTCATTTGCA